TCATCTTCACCCAAAACGAGGGAGCAATAACTGAAAACTCTTCTCTGGGCACCAGAGAAGGTATTTTTCTTCTCTGGGCACCAGATCTGACAAATCTTCAATTGTTAAGTATTAATTTAATAAAATTCTATCTATCTATCAATCCATCAATCGACTGATCAATCGACCAACTGACTGACAGGGTCTTGCTCTGCCACAGTCTGGAGTGCAGTGGTGTGATGACAGCTCACTGCTTCCTCAAACTCTGAGGCTCAAACTGTCTCCCACCTCAGCCTCTCCAGTAGCTAGGACTACAGGTGCATTATCACTACACTCAGCTATTATTTTACTTTACTAAGTGTTTTTTATATTCATTATATATCTTTAACATACCACATATCATAGATTCTAAGATGCTCTGGTGCTGGTACTGTTTGTCACATCTATGACTCTAAGTCATCATCATCAGCTATAAGATGCATCATGACTTCAGAGAGATAAAAATGTTAAATAAAGTGCTACTTATATACACTTAAATGCTTACTTATAATTTTATTGCAGTATAAAAGAAAAATTATGATCTGCATACAGTACATACTAAATGGAAATATACTTATTCATTTGTTTCTGTTTATATTAAGTAGCTTGTATTTTAAATAATTTGTATTATGCAGAAATCCTTGGTGAATTGTAAAGTAGGTGCTGAGTGCTTTGGGCTAATTCTAGGAAATTGTTTAGGGTCTTGAGTGGATGGAAATTCATTGTGATTCTTCCTACTCAAAATAAAATAAGGGGCACCACTTTCCAAAAAAATTGCCACACGTACATAAAAAAGATGTATCTCAATATATTGAAACACAAATATGTAATAAAATTATAAAAATATAAAAAGTGAAACACGAAATTAAAACTAGTGATTACTTCCGGGCAGAGGGCAGAGGAAAGAATGGGAAGCAGAAACAACTCCATTAAGTACAACACAGAAAAATCCACATTTGTTAAAAACAAAGACAATGAATCACATCTACACTATATAGTCACAAGGAAAGATCTGAAAAGGTACACAATAACCTGTTAAGAGTAAAGCTGTCAAGGCAAACTTTCACATTGTATTTTATATTCCATATTTTTCTTCAACGTTTTTGTAATGAGCGCTTGCAATTTTTAAAGTTAATAAAAAGGAAGTAAGATAGTTAATGTTGGGGAAGGAAATGGCAATACAATCACTGTTAAAGTTCTCTGACATACTATATTCCACAAAAATACAATGATTTAGATTATGAGTCATTCTTCAGGAACATATGGACTAGAATGCATTACATTCAGTTTGTAAATAATGAGCTGAATTAGCCAGCATATGATGTAACCAATGACCTCATACTGAAAAGTTCCATTCAAAGTAACATCTAAAAATCTTGCAAATACCTCTATTTTCTCATACCACTTACACTGGTATGTTACCCAGTACACTCTCCATTTCTTCCTTTCCCTTCTTTCACTCTTTTGTTTAATTTTATTGCAACAACATGCATTGAACACCTATCTACATACCAGGCAACACGCTAGGTATTGGCAGAACCAAAATAAATAGATATAGTCCCAGTTTTCAAGGAGCTTTTTAGATGCAGCAGTACAATCTAATACGATTTTTTGCAATGTTGGAAATGTTCTGTATTTGCACTGTCTCATATAGTAGCCATTAGCAGCCTGTAGCCACTGAGCATTTGAACTGTGGCTAATGTGACCAATGAACTTTTATTTAATTTAAATGAGTTTAAATTTAAATAGCTAATTGTGACTAGTGCCTATGGCACTGGACAACACAAGTCTACAGGAAGACAAGGACAAATAAACACAACTACAATGTATTATGGTAAACACTAAACTAGAAGTAGAAAGGCTATGAAAGAAAGGGAAAGGACCATTGAGCCCACCATAGGGCTCCAGTATCTGGAAAACCTGATACTTAATTCTTCAATCACATGAAGAAAGGTGAGGCATTACATAAAAATAACCAATTTAAGTAAACCCTCTGGGTGTAAAACTGCATGGTAGGGAGATTAAAAGCAGTTTTGTATTACTAAATGGGAAAATCTACTACAATGAGTACAGGAGAGATACTGGAAAGGTAAATGTATGCAAGGAGGCCAGAATGTGAAAAGACTACATGTAATATTTAGAAGCTTGAATATATTACATAAAAAAAGGAAAGCCACTGATTAGTTAAAATGGTAATTAAGAGGTTTATATTTGTGCATGTTCACAGGTAAGGTAAGTCAGCCTAAATTAGAGGAAGATAAAATGCTTACAAAATCTGAAGTTGCATTTCCTTGAAAAAAGCTTGACAATCCAAAAATGAATCATGAGCCACATAAATTTTTTTTTTATCTGAAATAATATGCCCATCTATCTCTGCAAATAAACTTCAACTACTGTATTCAAATTCCAAATACCTCACTGGGCTTAAATTTATCTTAAGAAAGAAAACACAAAAAGTAGATACCACCATAAAAATCAATACTTCAAACAATGCCCATTTAGAAGTCACTATCTTTAGCACAGAGCTGAGGGAAGGCACCTTCCTAAACTAAATTCCTAAGGCTTTAATCAGGTCTGTAAGGAGATGAGACCTGGAAAAATGTTACAAAAATTCCTGTTAAAGTCTGGAATATTAGCCTATTAACTGGATGTTCAAATAAATATAAAACATTAAGTGCCCCCCAAAAGCAAAAGCCTTCAAGAATAAATGAAAATGGCTATACGCATAAACACAAAGAAATTCTACTTTATCCATGAAAAATAAATTTCCTCCAAAATAGAATTTTTAAAAATCCAAAATAATTTTCATCAATTCAGAACATTTAAGTCCTCTCTTCTAGCTATTTTGAAATATACAATACATTGTTAACTACAGTCACCCTACTCTGCTATGGAAAATTAGAATTTATCCCTCTCTGTCCCTTTTCTCTTTTGTTTTTACTTAGTGATGCTAAATGCATATTGAAGTATCCTTGGAAACAGCTGTTTAAAGCTAGGTTGTAAAATTATTTTATTTTCAAATCCTGCTCTGAGAAGTGCATGTATAGAAAGAGAACTTTCTGTTTGGTATGATGATGACTATAGTAAGAATATAAAAACTCTTAGTACTACCAGTACAAATACAAATGGTACTTTAGTGATGAACATTCCTTTGAATTTCCCATACATTCTTATATACACATTGTATACATGTAACAAAATACCACATACACCCCATAAATATGTACATTATGTATCAATAAATGAAGAGGGAAAAGGGAAAATATTTTGAGGCAGCAAAACCCTAAATAAAAATGTGTTTTCTACGTATGCTCAAAAACCTGGATTATTCGTAAATAATGTGGCTGGAATAATGGAGTACTTTTAGTGTAGAATGAGCAAGAATAAGCAAATCTCTTCATGTGCAAAACATAATTCTGCTTTCTTTCTTAAGTATAAATTTTGGGATTCTATATTAATATGGTTCCACGAAACAAATTAACTATAGTGTGTAATCAATTAAAAATTCTACATTCACACTTTGCAAACTGGATTATGAGCACTGAAAAGCCACATAATTCAGAATCACAAAATTCTTAAAATAATTTGGTAGAACCTACCAAAAGATGCAGAAGTCCAAGACTGTGACCAATTAAAATCTTCTAAGTCAAGGTAATTGGAAGTGGTTGGGAAGCAGGAGCTACTGACCAACACAGCCTGCTAATTATTAGTACCTGAGCACCTGAGCACAAATAATTAGCAGGCTATACTGGTTAAATCTATGAGGACAGCTCAGAAGAAAGGTTACAGAGAAAACTGATTCAGCATAGCCTCAGTTTTTTTCTGGCTTATTAAAATTATAAAGATCTGGCAAGAAATTTTAGATACCAAGTTAGGAGAAGCTCTAGAAAGGTTAAATATGACATTATTTTTAATTAGGAACAGTGCCTACACCAGAACCCAGATCTTATAATCAAAGGCTCGCTGTTGTACTATACACCAAAAAGACTTAATTTATAATTTGCTCCACTGCACACTTTTCCAATTTGAGGGAAGAAAAGATTACTGGGCTAAAACAAATGGTTAGCAAATAAACAGTTAGTTAACCAAAGCTGCTACTATCACACCAGTTGCCTTCGCAACCTAGAGGGAATTAACTGATGAGCAAAAGGCAGTGTGGGAGGTTGGGAGGTTGGACACATATCTATGCAAGAAGCCCAAAAGTTTATTTCTACTCAAGCTTTAAAGTATTCTGTATTCTGGATCACTAAATAAATGTGATTAACAGATCACTATCAAATGAATAAAAAATATTTCCTTTAAAAAGTTAAATTCAAATATGTTTGTTTTCTTTAAGTCACTGTTTAATAGCACAATCTTTAAAATTCACCTTTTTAAAGCTCAGAAATAGAAATGTTGTATTTCAACTATTCTTTCAGCATTCCCACACAATGGATATTATTAACCACCTTATTTAATGAGAAAACAAGAATCCAGCATTTTAAGGACAGCAAACTATTAACAAATTCAGTACAATTTGGGTCTCTGAGTACCCTAGGTTTCTCATTTCTATTTCTTCTATACTCTATTCAATTTTGTCTACATTTTTCTATATACACTTTGTTATCCAAAACACAGCACAAGACTTCGGGTTTAGTCTTCCAGGAATAATACACATAAATGCAATCAATGCTTTTGATTTTACCAGCTCTGAATCCAGCCATGAAATCATAAATTGTTTATCATATAATCTAAGTTTTGACAAATATCTTAGAAAACCTGATTTGACACTAAAGTAATATGTATTATGAATATGCTTTATTTTGAAAAGTGTTTCCAACTATTTCAACTATAAAATGCAGTACAGAATTTAAAATTATAAACCCAAATTTTCAAATTGAGGTGTATCCAATTTGGTGGTTCCAATTACATATAACACATTTAAACAGTTTCAATGTAGCTATAAAACTAATAGAGAAAAAAAGAAAAAAGACTGGTCTTACCTGGTAGTTTCTTTTCTCAGATAATGTATGTCCATCAGTCCTCACCATAGAGTCGTGTCCTTTCCTCACAGTACCGGAGGCAATCAAATAGAACTGTCACTCAAGGGTCGTGTCACAGGAAGGACCGCCCACCAGTTCTCCCTCTAGAGTGGAATTATCCAAAAGCCGTCAAAATTACTAACATGTAAATATATCAACAGCAGCAAAAATATTCAATATGATACACAGAAAACAAAAAACAAAAAGTAATTGTTCTATACTCTAACCAGTCTTCCTCTTAACCATTTTCCTGGGCTAGACTGGCAGACATACTTTATTTGCAACAGAAACTATTAAATATGAAAAATTCTTCCTTCCCACTTCTACTTTCTTCAATTAAGGCTGTCTGCCAGACATCACATACAAGGGATAAATTTACAGTGAATAAAAATGAAGTGGACAAAAAAGTTTACCCCTTCCACAACTGACATATTTTTTTCTTTTACATGAATCTTCTGCAGTTATCTCAAAAATATAAAATTCAGATTCAATCAACTACAAATCCTTCCCCTACAAATGCTTATATGGTGATATATAGAAATATAAGTTATTCACACAGCTTCTGATTCATTCTGTGTAGGTTTATTCCCATGCAACAAAACGGAAATGCAACATATATTCTTAACATGATTAAGAGACACAAACCTAACTCAATATTTGATTAAACTTCACTCCAAAATGAAAAGCAAAAAATGTTAACTTCATTGATGCTTTTGTCTTTCAGTCCTCCAATTTCACGCATACTCCAACAGGAAATTCAATTTTTTACATTGGGGAAAATATAATGGGGCTCATTTCTTAAACTACAGAGAGATAAATAAGTCCAAAATGACTAGTTGCTATGCACCCGAGGTACCACCTCCCACCTCCCACCAAAAAAAAACCACTGAAGCTGAGATGACAATCACAAGAAATGCTATCTTTAAAATGAATATTGAAAATAAGAGTTCAAATATTCAAAAGTGGGTCTACAAAGAATTTGTAAGTATACATTTTCAATACAGGTATCTCTCACCTAAATTTTGTTAAACACTGCCCCTAGGAAGTAGTATGTATACCTACTGAACTAATAATCTTGCCAGCCACTAATGATTATATTCAAATTTAGAGCAATTATTTAATGTCAACAAACATTTTGTGAGGAGATAATATCTAATCTGTAATTTATAAGAAGAGTGAATCAGTGTTATTAAAACCAACAAACACACATGAACACATATATATGGAGTACCTCTAAAAAGCAATCTTTTTACACAGGCAGAACATGTTTTTCTTTTAAAAAAACAAATGATTAAAAATTAGTATTACTAAATTTAAGTTTTAAAAAGACCCTATGTGACAAAAACCTATCTTCTGGCTCCTCTTTTATGTTTGTTTACAAAGGTAGCGGGAGCTGTATTTTTACTTGTGTGACTACCTTACAGTGTACATTTAGCTGAAATACTTGAAGATGTCAGGCTCTGTGACAAACCTGTAAATTATTCATCACCAAATTTGTAAGTACCTTTGGAATTAAGTATTTGTCTTTCAAAAATAACACAGGAGTAAAGATTTTAATGCATACTTACTACTACAAATGTAATCTTTATCATTTAACAAGCAATGAGGTTATTCATAAGGAAAAGTTACCAAGTGAATTGGATATTCAGGAATAGTTAAATGATGCGCATTTGGCTCCAACTCAAATTTTCACAATTATCACAAAAAGAGAGCATTATTTTATTATGCATCCCCTAAATATTAACCCTGTTTCAATATTAGTGTTGTATAATATTAAATTTTAAAGTACTACTTGCCTTATTACATTAATACATACATGGTGACTCTGAATTGAGTGGATAATAATGCAAAATTTCAGTTCAGTACTTATAGAAAATAAAATGTTTTCCTTCTAAAATAATATTTAGGGTCTACGAATTACCTTCCAATTGTATTAATTTCAGCAAAAGAATGTTAGAAATCTATAATCACATAAGGTAATTTTCAATACCCTAATGCTGTATACATCTTTAACACAATCTAATTCTACACAAAAGGACTGAATTTTATATGCTAAGTAATACCATAACAATACATATTCATATTTAATCTGTAAAAATTTACCAGATAAAAGTTCACTTTAAAGAATTATGGATTTTCGTATAAAGGCAAAATCTGTTTATTATTTGCTTTGTTTGCCCTTCTGGGGATAACTGGAAATATTTCATGGCCTGGAGTTTCAATCCATAGCCACTATATACTCTAATCAATGTGGGAGCTAATATTCTATACTGAATTAAGAATCATTATCTCCTTTTAATAAACAGAAGAGAAAAATGACTTAAGGCACTATATTTTCTTCCAAATAAACATGAAAAGCTAACATTTGTCACCACTATCTTCATTTTATTATATTAAATAAAAATATTCAGCAATAAATTGTTGATAATCTTCATACTGGAAATGAAAAGATGTACAATAAGTCAAAGACAGACAAAGTATGTGAAAAGGAACAAGCATGAGAGATAGTATGCACTCTAGGTGCCAAAATTTATTAAGGTTTATACACTGTTTTCCCGCTAAGTCTGACAAATATTCAAGAATTCAGAAAAGACAAATATTTGCAAAACGACAATGAAATTTTCTATAAGGCAAGGATGTTTTTCACGATGAAAAAAGAGGCTATGTTTACCCTTCTACCTTAAATAACCAGAAAATTACATAAAATATATGAAACAAAGGTTTCCAGACATCAGACAACAGTATCTCAGGACAAAAATCATCAAGAAAAAGGAACAAATATAGTGCGCCCAGCTAGCTCACTGCCTGTAGAGTTTTGAGGCTGAAGCACAAGGAGGGGAAACTGGAACTAATTTTTTTATTTGATGAGAATTATAAACTCACAGATCCAAATTCAACAACCTCGAAAGAGAATAACAACAAAACCACATGATCATAACATTTCAGAGTAAAATTGCTACAAAACGGCAATAAACAAGAATTTTAAAGCAGGGGGAAAATACAGAGGAACAAAGGTAGGAAGGGCATCAGACTTCTCATCAGAAACAACACAAATCAGGAGAGTGGTTCCATATATTTAAAGTATAGAAAAGAAAAAGAAAACTATCAACAAGGAATTCTAAGCCCAGCTAAAATATCTTTCAAAAATGAAGGTTATGTACGGCCATATTAGAAGGTTAGGCAGTTTCTTATAAAGGTAAACACAAGCTTACCATACAACTCAGCAAATAGGCCTCTGAGTATTTACCAGTACGGATTGAAAACAGGTTCACACCAAAACCAGTAGTACATGTATGAAGACATACTTCATTCCAGTGAAGATGTGATGTCCTTTAGTAGGTGAATGAACAAACAGATTATCTACACAACAGAATAGTATCAACAACAAAAAGGAGCAAGCTGTTAATTCATGCAAGATGGATGAATCTTAAGTGCATTTTTGCTACAGGAAAGAAACCAGACCCCAAAGGTCACACACTGAACAATTCCATTAATATGACATTATGGAAAACGCAAAATTACAAAGACAAAAAAAAGATCAATTACTTCTCTCTGGCCTTAGTTTCCTAAGCTGTAAAATAAAATGACTTAGATGAATCTTTAAAAATGTATGCAGATTAACTTTTTCTTTATTTAAACTTTTTAACAAACTTTTCCCATGAGTTTTCCCCTCATTCCACTTCACTACTCAACAGTATTTAAACAATGCCTAAATATTTTGCAGGGTGAAAATAAGTATCTAAAATATCTGTAATCTGGTAGTCATTACTACACTCAAAGTTAAAACATGAATTTGCTCAGGTTAAAGCAGCTGAACCAGCTTTTTTTTTTTTTTTTAACAAAAGACATTATATTCTAGGGTGGCTATTAATTAGGACAAACTATAAGATGTGACCAATTTCACTGGAGCTCAATAATATGTGCAGTAAATGCACTTAGCTACTATCTTTAAAATCAGGATTCCTCAAATTCTAGAACTTGTATCAAGCAATGTTTTCTTAATAGGTAGAACTGCAGTCACAAAAATATTTCCTTGACCTTAAGAACTAACTTTTCGTTTTATCACATGGATGTTTTTAAAATTCTGAGCTGATGGGCAGATGAAATAAAAATAAATAAAACTCAAGAGTTTCAGTGAAATAAAACTCAAGAATATCATACATGGTCTGGGAAAATTGCCATATTAACTCAAAAACAATTTCTGAGTATTTTAGTAATATAGGTTTCACAAATCTGTGAAATGAAAAGTTGCCTATATCTACAAAGAAAAACAAATACAACTTAATATTCTACTGAAATAAATTTGCTCTCTGGATGTCATAATTTAATGTTTTATAACAATGTTGTATGTGTCTTCCATTTTCTATAGTGGTACTACTTTTAACACAACTGTATAGTTTTCTTATCCAAACTCCAAGGAGGATTCTAGGCATCTGACACACAGAATTTACTATAAGTAGAAAATCAGGTCTATCCAAAATGCCCACCATCTCAAGACATAGAAATTTTCTTCTACTGAGGCTTAAAAGTCTTAAATGAAGTGAATACCATAAAGGGAATCCTGCTGAACTTAAACAACAAAATTTCAAAAATTTCTGAACCATAGGTATGAAAATTAAAAGCTCTTCATTTGATTTGAGCTTAAATAAAATTGGGGTCTGAAATACAGACAATTGGGGCTCTTTCTAGTCTTCTTGCTGCCTGAAATGTACATATATTTACACAAGTTGCTTAGCTTCTGTGAGACTTAATTTCCTCATATTATAAATGAAAATAATTAATCTGTGTGGTCTAGCTCATGGTTTAGAGAAAAAGCAGCCAGTGAAGGAGATGAAAACCAAAGAGACTATGGTAGACATCCTAAAAGTTAACTGGAATAAGTGGTTCAAAGAAAAATGTAATGAACTGTTTCAAAATGCTGTTGATTTAAAAAAAAAAAATGAGAAATACTCTTTGGATTTAGCAGCATGGAGATCACCTATCTGGTAATCTTCACAAGAATTGTTTTGGTGAAACAGTAGAAATAAATGCATTAACTAGACTGGATTCACAAGAGAACAGGAAGAGAGAAACTGGAGACAAAGTATAAGCATCATTTTCAAGA